CCAAAATGGAAAAGGGTCTAGAAGCCAAGCCCTATGAGGAGTGGTTTAGGTAATTATGTTTAACACAGAGAAGATAAAGTTGAGAGGCAGCTATGTTTAAATATGTGTCACACTGAGAAGAGGGCAAGCTTGTTTTCTGCTGCTCTGAAGACTGGGAGACGGAGCAATGCATTTAGACAGAGGGAAAATAAACTCCTCCTAAACTTTAGGAAGAACTTCCTGAGGATAAGAGCTGTTCAGCAGAAGAATATGATGCTGCCTCGGGAATGTGGTGGGAGTCTCCTTCTCTGGAGGTATTTATTCAGAAGCCGGTTGACTTTAATTATGTATGTTCCTGCATGGCAGGGAGTTGGACTAGATCAGTGGTTCCCAACCTTTTTTTGACCAGGGACCACTAGACCAGGAACCACTTTGACCAGGGACTACTCTCCAACATTAGTACCAAAAGGGTCATGAATCGGTTTTTGGTCAACTTTAGATTCGGTTTGGTTATTTTGGGTGCTGATTCAGAACATTGCATTGGATAGACCGCAACAACTCTAGTTTCTGATACAGAACATATGCCGCCCAGTAGTTGCCATCTGCTCACCCACAGAAAATCATATTTAATAAGCCTTGGCACTATAAGATGGTTTTGCAAGACCAGTTGCTCTTGATGCAACAGTGTAGTAACAGTGAGGCCATGAACCATATTTTAGTTCTTGCAGGCCACTGGTGGTCCATGGACCACAGGTTGGGAACCACTGAACTAGATAGTCGTTATGGTCTCTTCCATATCTATAAGTATATTATTACTCAGAAATAATCTTCAGTAAATTTAATGGGGGTTATGTCAAGTTATGTATAGAACCAGAACCTTAAAGTACTTACGCTTATTCTGGCTCTAGTACAACTCCACTAAACCCATTCAATCAATTGCTGAATTGTAAATCAACAATAATTATCAAGATCCTATCAACTTACTCTAGTAGTTGTGACATTTTCACATGTTTGCAGAACTGCAGCAAACTGTTCTCACACATCCTCAATGGGACTGGACCTGTTAAGAGCGTTTAGAGCAGGGGTCCTAAAACTTTTTAAACAGAGGACCAAGTCACAGTCCCTCAAACTGTTGGAGGGCTGGATTATAACTTGAAGATAACATGAATGAATTCCTACGCGTACTGCACATATCTTATTTGTAGTGCAAAAACCACTTAAAAACAATACAATAATTAAAATGAAGAACAATTTTAAAAAATATAAACTTATCAGTATTTCAATGGGAAGTGTGGGCCTGCTTTTGGCTGATGAGGTAGGATTGTTGTTGTTGTGTGCCTTCAAGTCATTTCAGACTTAGGTTGACCCTGAGTGAGGGCCAGGTAAATGACCTTGGAGGGCCATATCTGGCCCCCGGGCCTTAGTTTGAGGACCCCTGGTTTAGAGAATCACAGAATAATAGAGTTGGAAGTGACTGCATGGGCCATCGAGTCCAATCCCCTGCCATGCAGAAAAACCTACATGAGAGGTTCGGTTGTTTATAGAATCATAGAATCATACAGTTGGAAGAGACCTTGTGGGTTATCCAGTCCAACCCCCTGCCAAGAAACAGGAAAACTGCATTCAAAGCACCCCCAACACATGGCCATCCAGCCTCTGTTTAAAAGCCTCCAAAGGACACACTATCACACTCCAGGGCAGAGAGTTCCACTGCTTAACCAATTACTGATCCACTTAATAGTAACATTGCCTAGCCCACATTTGACTAGTTTGTTTACAAGAAGGTCATGGGGGACCTTGTCGAAGGCTTTACTGAAATCAACATATGCTACATTCACAGCATTCCCTGCATCTTAGGATCCTTGTCCCCCCCTCCCTCCCCTCCCCTTTCCCCCCTAGTATTCTTCCATTGTGGAGTGTCCTTAACTCCCCGGGGTACGCAGTCCAGTAGGTGGTCAAGTTTCTTGTTAATTTCCCCTAGGTGGTTAACACCTAGGTGGTTAAGAATAACTTATACTGTGTTTCATAAGCTTGCACATATGGTGGGAATGGTGAGAGTTGAAGTCCAAAACACTGGAGGGCCCAAGTTTGCCCATGTCTGTTCTATAGTACTTTACTTAGGTGATCCCTCATTGTCTGAGTAGGATAGTCTTCCAAGATTAGTGTACTGGTGGTGGGTTCGCAGGTGACTGTGGAGCCCTATTCTTGATCTGCATGTTCTCCCGCAGTGAGGGCATTCGTTTCCAGGTGGAAAATGGTCCCGGTCGGGGTTGGCTTGACACGTCTTCCTCTTGGCATGTTTCTTTTGCCCTCCATTTGTGCCTCTTCAAATTCTACAGCACTGCTAGTCACAGCTGATCTCCAACTGGAGCACTCAAGGGCCAAGGCTTCCCAGTTCTCAGTGTCTATGCCAGACTTATCAAGGTTGGCATCTTTAAATCTCTTTTCCTGTCCACCAACATTTTGTTTTCCGTTCTTGAGTTCAGAGTAGAGCAACTGCTTTGGGAGATGGTGGCCAGGCATCCGGACAACGTGGCCGGTCCAGCCATGTTGACATTTGTCAATGCTGGTGGTTTTTGCTTCTTCCAGCACGCTGACATTTGTCCGCTTGTCTACCCAAGAGATTTGCAGGATTTTTTGGAGTTAGCGCTGACGTGACGTCTGTAGACAGCCCACGTCTCGCAGGCATATAGCATGGTTGGGAAGATAATCGCTTTATAAACAAGCACCTTGGTATCCCTACGGATGTCCCGGACCTCAAACACTCTCTGCTTCATTCGGAAAAAAGCGGCACTCGCAGAGCTCAGGAGGTGTTGTATTTCAGTGTCAATGTTGACTTTTGTGGAGAGGTGGCTGACTAGGTAGCGGAAATGGTCAACATTTTCTAATGTTACACCATTAAGCTGTATTTCTGGCATTGGAGAGGGATTGGCTAATATAAAAATGGCATAATCAAGGTTTGATTTTTGCATTGTTACCATATATATATACTAGCTGTCCCCTGCCACACATTGCTGTGGCCCAGTCTGGTGATCTGGAAAATAAAGTAATGTGAAAGTGTTGGTTTCTAATATATGTAATTTCATTATGCTTGTGGGTAAACAGTATTTGATTATATTTTCTTGCCCTGGTGACGAGAGTTGGATTAGATGGCCATAAGTATTTTCTATTGGTCATAGGGGTTCTGTGTGGGAAGTTTGGCCCAATTCTATCGCTTGTGGGGTTCAGCATGCTCTTTGATTGTAGGTGAACTATAAATCCCAGTAACTACAACTCCCAAATGTCAAGGTCTATTTCCCCCAAACTCCATTTGTGTTCCTAGTTGGGCATATGGAATATTCGTGCCAAGTTTGGTCCAGATCCATCATTGTTTGAGTCCACAGTGCTCTCTGGATGTAGATGTACTACAATTCCCAAACTCAAGGTCAATGCCCACCAAACTCTTTTAGTATTTTCTGTTGGTCATGGGAGTCCTGTGTGCCACGTTTGGTTCAATTCCATCCACCCTTTGGGGGAGATAGAGAAGAACATAAATAAAGTTTTATATTATTATTATTATCATCATCATCATTGGTGGAGTTCAGAATGCTCTTTGATTGTAGATGAACTATAAATCCCAGCAACTACAACTCCCAAATGACAAACTCAATTTTTTTTTGAGTGCTTGTCACTCCTTGGGTTAGTAGGTGTCTTGTGGCCAAATTTGGTGTCAATTCGCCCAGTGGTTTTTGAGTTATTCTAGTCCCACAAACGAATACTACATTTTTATTTATATAGACTAGCCATCCCCTGTGGCCCTCATGGGGGTTTCTGTGTGGGAGATTTGGTCCATTTCTATCATTGGTGAGGTTCGGAATGCTCTGTGATTGTAGGTGAACTATAAATCCCAGCAACTACAATTCCCAAATGTCAAGATTCTATTTCCCCCAAACTCCACCAGTGTTCACATTTGGGCACATTGAGTATTCGTGTAGTTTGGTCCAGATCCATCATTGTTTGAGTCCACAGTGATGTAGGTAAACTACAACTCCAAAACCAAAGGACATTGCCCACCAAACCCTTCCAGTATTTTCTGTTGCTCATGGGAGAACTGTGTGCCAAGTTTGGTTCAATCCCATTGTTGGTGGGGTTCAGAATGCTCTTTGCTTGTAGGTGAACTATAAATCCCAGCAACTACAACTCCCAAATGACAAAATCAATTTTTGGAGTGAACGACATACACACATTGGGTTGTTAGATGTCTTGTGTCCAAATTTGGTGTCAATTCGTCCAGTGGTTTTTGAGTTATGTTAGTCTCACAAACGAACCTTACATTGTATTGTTGAAGGCTTTCATGGCTGGAATCACTAGGTTCTTGTGGGTTTTTTTCGGGCTATAGAGCCATGTTCTAGAGACATTTCTCCTGACGTTTCACCTGCATCTATGGCAAGCATTCTCAGAGGTAGTGAGGTCTGTTGGAATTAGGACAATGGGTTTATATATCTGTGGAATGGCTGGGGTGGGGCAAGGAGCTCTTCCCTGCTGGAGCTAGGTGTGAATGTTTCAACTGACCACCTTCATTAGCATTTGAAGGCCTGGCTGAGCCTGGGAAAATATTTTGTGGAGAGGTGTTAAGATGTGCCTGGTTGTTTCCTCTCTGCTGTTTTGCTGTTGTAATTTTAGAGTTTTTTAATACTGGTAGCCAGATTTTGTTCATTTTCATGGTCTCTTCCTTTCTGTTGAAATGCCTCTAGAACATGGCCCTATAGCCCGAAAAATCCCACAAGAACCTAGAACCTTACATTTTTATGTATACGGCTTCCCAAGCCGTGAGTGGTGGGATCCGTGGATACCGGGGCCTGGCTGCCTCTCGCTCCTCCGCAGAAGCAAACCGGAAGCTGGTGGCGCGCGAGAGCCCCGCCTCCTCCTCTTCCCTCTTTCTGATCCGCGATTCCAAAATGGCGGCGCCTGCTGCCTGGGCGTGGGCGGGGCCAAGGGTCCTGGGCGGGGCCTGGGAGTGGTGACGTAGAGAGGGGCGGGGCCGGGCGCGCCGCGGGGGCAGCCGGGGTTCCCTCGCGATGGCCGGCGTCTTCGACCTCGACCTGGAGACGGAGGAGGGCAGCGACGGGGAGGAGCAGGCTGAACTGGGGGGCCTGGTGAGCCGGAGGGAGGGAGAGAGGGAGGGAGGGGGCCCTTGGCTCCAGAGGCAGCAATGGGGCTTCCTCCGAGGAAGTGGGCTGCCCGGGGAAAGTTACTGACCCTCCTTTTCCTTGGCGCTGATCTCTCCCTCCCTCTCTCTCTCTCTCTCTCCATCTCCGCCTTCCAGGACGTGGACCCAGATCTCCGCTGCAGTGGCTCCGAGTGAGTACACCTTTGCTTCCCCTTGGGGTGCATCTGCACTGTAGAATTGATGCGGTTCCACACCACTTTACATATCGTGGCTCTAAACTATGGAATCGTGGGAGTTAGTTTGATGAGATCTTTAGCCTTCTCTGCCTAAGCTTTCTGGTGGCCTCACCAAACTAACAACTCCCACAACTCCATAGCATTTGAGACATGGTAGTTCAAAGTGCTGTCAAACTACACCAAAGGCCTCATCACACTAGAGAAAAAGTCCACTTTAAATCTGCTTTCTGCCTCCTGCAGAATTCTGGGGTTTGTAGTTTAGGGAGGAGCCCTTAACAGACTCGCCAAACTACAAATCCCAGAATTCTGCAGGAAGCAGAAACCGAATTTTAAGTGGATTTTTTCTCAAGTGCAGTGGTTCTCAACCTGTATGTCCCCAGGTGTTTTGGCCTTCAACTCCCATAAATCCTAACAGCTGCTAAACTGGCTGGGATTTCTGGGAGTTGTAGGCCAAAACACCTGGGGACCCACAGGTTGAGAACCACTGCTCTAGTGTGATGGAGAAGCTAATCTATAGTGTAGATGCACCCACGCTGGAAATCGTCTATACACCACTAGATCTTCCTATCTAGACGTACTTGGTGGCGGGAATCTCAGACTTCTCTAGGATGATGTCAAGGCAGTTCAAGAGGTATTGAACTAGTTTAACTGTGTAGTGGAGATATGCTTTGAGCTCCTGTCCAGAGAGGGAAATGTACCCCCAATTCCTTTAGCAGCAAATGCATATTTTTTAAAATACAATGGATGTCACTGTGACAAGATGGCACTTTAAATTGTTGCATAAGCCAGATGATGGGTCAGCACTGAGAAGGAAGGGAAACAAAAACAGGATGGAATGGGGAGAGGCCGGGAGTAATTAGGAGCATCATCATCAACGCCTCACTGTGTTACTCACTAAGGCTCCTCTGTTTTATTTGTTTGGGTATTTAATGCCCTAGCTTTCTTCCGGTATAGGACTCCATGGCATGTTAAAATATAATTAAAACCAAAATAGATATACAGTGTTCCTTCACTTATGCGGGTGTTATGTTCCAGGACCACCCGCGAAAAGTGAAAATCCACGAAGTAGGGACGCTACATATGTATATCAAGTTCCGAGGGCGAGGCAGAAGCAAGGAGAGATTTAAAGACCCCGCGCACCTTTTTTTTGCTAGCTATTTCTGCTTTGCTTTGCAATCTCTCTTGACTGGCTGCCTCTCTCCCAGTGAACCCCCTTCCACACTCCATCGTTGCCCAGAGGCAGGATTAGAACGCCACTCTGGGCAACAGCAACCATTCATAAACTGGGAGGCAAAAACCCACGAAACAGTGAGTCCACGAAAAGTGAAGTAGCGAGGGAACACTGTAGATATAGCTATAGATAGATAGATGCTTCTAGTCCATCAGATTGCCATGGAGTTAGTGGATTTTTTTAAAAAAAAAAACTCTATAAACAACATGGTTTGCATTCCAGATAGCTATAGGAAGAAAGTTAATAGAAATGTTTCCTATCAACATATCAACATATCCTCCCACTAGCCCCTCACACACACACACCTCATCAATCTCCTGCCCTTTGAAAACCCCAAAGGCCTCCTTTCAGGGGGCACCTCCATGTCTTGCCCAGTTCCCTTTTCAGTTTCCTTGTCTTCTTTCCTTCCTTCAGCCTGGTGCCAGGATATTATGAAGAAATTGAAATCTCTGAGCACATTGTCAACCATGGCCCAGAGCGCATTGGACCCCACTGCTTCGAGCTGCTGCGTGTTTTGGGCAAGGGCGGCTATGGCAAGGTGAGGAATGGACTGAAGGGGTAGGAATGGGAAACCGTACCACATTAAAGGTGCCCATGGTGCCCAAGATCCCATTGCCATTCGGGATGTGCAACTCTGTCGCTTTAAAGCAGGTGTCCTCAAACTTTTTAAGCCAGAGGCCAGTTAACAGTCACTCAAACTATTGGGGGGGGGGGGTGGACTATAGTTTGAAAAAAACTTGAACTGATTCCTTTGCACGCTGCAGATATCTTATTTTTAGTGCAAAAATAAATAACACGAAAGAACAATACAATATGTAGAATGAAGAACAATTTTAACCAACATAAAATCACCAGTATTTCAAGTGTGGGCCTGCTTTTGGCTGATGAGATAGTCAAGCTAATGAGGATTGTTGTTGCTGCATGCCTTCAAGTCATTTCAGACTTAGGGTGACCCCAAGTCTAAAGTTTAGGGAGGGTGGCGGGTAAATAACCTTGGAGGGCTGCATCTGGCCCGTTGGCCTTAGTTTGAGAACCCTTGCTTTAAAGCCTTCAGTGCAATAGACTAGTTCAGCAGGAAGGTAAAGGGGGCACCTTGACATGGAAAAATGGAACAAGAACACCTCCTCATGGCCGGAATTGAGCATTGCCTCCAGATGCCGGAGATGAAAAGGGCAAGGCCTTTACCTTGTCTATGTATTGTATGTCATCGTTTGTTCATTGTGTATAATGGACTTATATGTGTACTGTAATCCACTCTGAGTCCCTCCGGGGAGATAAAGCGGAATATAAATAAAGTGTATTATTATTAACTGTGCTCCTCCAGGTGTTTTGGACTTCAACTCCAAGAAATCCCAGACAGCTTACCAGCTGTTAGGAATTGTGGGATCTGAAGTCCAAAACATATGGAGGAGCTCACTTTGAGAAACTCTGGTTAGATGCAGACAAAGGATTTAAGATGCCAGACTTTCTGGAGACTTCCAAACTTTTCTCATTCACAGAATATAATATAGTCAATGTCAGGCAGCAAATAGAGGTTCACATGCTGGTAGGCTCTTTCATGAAAAAAGATTTCTGTACATATACAGCAGAAGGCTCAGCCAGAACACTCTTTTTTCAGTGTGCAGGCAGTGTTTTATATAAGGGTGTTTGCCACCCGAGGCTGTTTTTGCAATAGTTGGAAGTCTCCTAAGGCTCCCTGGTCTCTTCCACCCTCAAACAAAATGGTGAAAAGGGGGATTTTCTACTTCTTAAACTTTCCAGTTGTGGTAGTTGTGGTGTGTGTATTTTAGGATCACAGCCCTCCTAAAACCCAGTTTGAAATAATCATAAAATGCATGCCTTGCTATGTCCATTATTTATTGATTTATTGATTTATTTTCAGATTGGCGTCTAGTGAGCCTATGCAGGTTCCTGAAAGCTGAAAAGTAGCCCCAGAAGCAATATAAAATCCCACCCTCTTTTTTGTTCATATTTGTTCATATGGAGGTGCATTCAGTCCATCCCATAGCATAGACATGTGTCTTACCTTAGCAAAAAGTAGGCCAGAGCACTTCTCTGTCAAATAACAGATTAGCCAATACCACCAGCACTGAAACTACCAGTTACCAGTTGTGTCACAAATTGTCCTCATTTAAGAAGGAAGTGAGGCAGACAAAATAAGGAAAGGGGGAACAGAGAGAGAATTGGACATGTTGGCTAATTCGAACACAGATTGGCTGCACCACAGTGATGAAGATATTTATTCTATTTCCACTCATTCTGTAAAAATAGAAGGACTCATTGTATGCCCACAGTGACAGTTTTGCCACCAGTTTTGCAGATCAAATTGCTTGTGTCTGGTATAAACAAGACCTTATGTGTTTATGGCTCTCATTTTAAGCTTGGCATTTAAGGACCCAGAGGTGTCTGGTTTTATTTGGGTTTATTCCAGTCAGTGTGGAAAGCACAGTGAGGCATGTAGCAACCACCATTTGCAGCTGAGAGTTCTGTGAAAACCAGCTGGATCTTTAACTAGATGGGATTATATGTGCATAATTGAGGAAGAGCGTTGTGCCAGGTGGCTTAAAGTCACAGCCATTTGATGACTTCCACCACCAAACCTGGGTGTGAGTGATAACTGGATGATCCTGTTACTATCATGTTTTCAAGCTTCCCTTTTAGATAATCAACCCGCAAGTTGTCAGTATGCTTGGGATATTGTTGATATTCTGGATCTCTGTTAATGCAGATTTCATCCTAGACATGACTTTGTAACTTTGGCAAGTAATCTCTACTTAAAAATTAGTAGATGAGTTTGCACATAGATTATCAGGTTACATCTTTTAGACTCCTCCATATCAGTGACAGTGGAGAGAGTGCTCCTTGAGTGGCACCATTCTTATTAAGGACGTTCCAGCATATGACCAAATGCCCAGAGCTGGCCATGCCATGCTGAAGTATCCTTCTCAATACTTCTACATTAGATTCACAGAGACACAATGTGGTGCAGTTGATCTGTTGATGACATCTGGTTCTACCCCTCATTGAGCATCTCTGCTTACTTGTATCTGACTGTTCCTGGGCCTGGCTGTGAGCAGTCAGAAAGAAGCTAGATCTAGACATGACCAAGGGTTCATCTACACCAGTGGTTCTCAACCTGTGGGTCCCCAGATGTTTTGGCCTTCAACTCCCAGAAATCCTAACAGCTGGTAAACTGGATGGGAGTTTTGGGAGTTGTAGGCGAAAACACCTAAGGACCCACAGGTTGAGAACCACTGCTGTACACTGTAGAATTAATTCACCCTGACCCAACTTCAACTGCCATGACCCAATGCTATGGAATCCTGGGAATTGTAGTTTGGTGAAGCACCAGCAGACTTAGGCAGAGAAGGCTGAAGGCCTTGTCAAACTATGCCCCCATGATTCCCTAGCATTGAGCCATGGCACTTAAAGTGGTGTGAAATTGTTTTAATTCTACAGTGTAAATGCCAACCCGCCACTTTTCTGTTATGAAATACTGAGATGAATGGCTCCAAATGACTCCAATATTCTCACAGATAGATAGAATACTGCACTTTGGGATTGCCTTTTGCTGAAATTACTCTTGCATTGAAAGTTATGCAAGGAAAAGTAACTGGTGATTGGGAAATTGGCAAGATTGGTGCCTATAGTTGAGTATTTATGGATTCTTCTCCAAGAATTATTTAGTACATGGGTGTTATGACTAGGTGTCTACACTGGGGCAACTATGGATAGAATGTACAGGATCAAGTCTCTTTAATTTAGATCAGTGACATACTGATGCATTATGGATTGGTTCTGATAACTGATGGATCTATCAGAGGTTGAAGAGGCGATTATTGAAAAAATCTAAATACACAACAGGACCTTCGGGTATACTAGTACTTGACTTCTGTGGCAAATAACTGCTCTTTTCTTATTTTAGTGGCTGAGCTAAAGGGGGAGGGGTGCAGCTGTTTTGCACTATTGATTTTGTACTAGCCAGAAAATATTCCATAAAATCTGTCTTATGATCCTGATCTTGCTGCCTTCCTTGGTTTCCATTGTAGGTATTCCAAGTACGGAAGGTGCAAGGCACAAATGCTGGGAAGATCTTTGCTATGAAAGTGTTAAGGAAGGTAAGTTGTTTGTCCTGCTGTTGGTGTGTGTTTTTCTTGTTACGTACCCGACCTTGAATATCAGTGATTTCAATGGCTCAGGGTAGTCCCGACAGATGCAGATCAACAGATTATATCCTTATGTTCATGGTTGCTATGGCAGTGTAGTGATCAATCTTCAGCCAAAAAGCTTCTAATCGTCAGATGGCAAATTCAGCACTACCTCTTCCATTCCACTACCATGGCCTTTGAAAGTCTTATAAAGGGTCAACAGAATCAGATTTTGTTGACCTTTGTTTCTTCCCCTGTAGGCCAAGATTGCCTGTAATGCCAAGGACACGGCCCACACAAAGGCTGAGAGAAATATCTTGGAGGCCATCAAGCACCCATTCATAGTGGACCTCATGTATGCCTTCCAAACTGGTGGCAAGCTCTACCTCATCTTGGAATGCCTCAGCGGTATGGAAGCCAAGTCCTCTTCACTTCAAGGAGAGGGGTGGGACTCTTCTGGTGCTTTCATCCAACAGGCTGGAATTTCTGCCTTTTTATTGTTGAAGGTGGGAGGACAGACTGCCCTCAAGCAAGCTGATGTTGTCTCTTTTCTGTGTGTTTACTAGGAGGGGAACTGTTCATGCAGCTGGAGCGCGAAGGCATCTTTATGGAGGACACAGCCTGGTCAGTGAAAATGCTGCCATTGTCTGTACAGGGATAGTCAGGATAACTGGAGCTTAGCTGCAGGCTTTCACTCTAGTATTTTGCACTCACCAGAGCTGGGAAAAGATGATAAGGGAGGTAGTTGGGAAATGTTAAGAATCCACCTCTTTGCAAGCTGATCCTTATATGCCAATTGCACCACCTCCATTGAGTTTGGATTAACTAACGTTGCTGATATAAATAGTTCCCAAAACAGTGTGAATGCATTAACAGCCAGTATTCTTGATAGAAGGAATCCATTGGCTCAAACTGATTAAATAAGTAGCAGCCAAGGGAGGGGGATTCTTAGATGTGAGAAGCCTGTTCACGTGATCTTTTTGGCCTTTTCAATATAAGATGGGAAGGTAAACCAGAAATGGTTACTCTTTCCATCTTTTCTTCTAGTGTGGATTGCTTGTTTGAATAATAATAATAATGATAATGATAATAATAATCTTTGTTTATATTCTGCTCTATCTCACCCAAGGGGTCTCAGGGCGGATTACAGAACACATATACAGCAAACATTCAATGCCATTATACAATTAATCATCTAGCTTTGCTAGACTACTAACTTTAAAGATAGTTAAATTAAAGTCATAACTGTAGTCCCTCCATTCTTTTTTTAACACTGAGTGTACATAATTCTGTAGTTAAGAGAGATGTCAAAGGATGCTGGTCATCTTGTCTTTGTTACATTGCTGAATTACCTATAGTCTTACATGTATTTATTTAAAAGTCAATTCCACTGGATTTACCAGGGTTTGTTTGCAACTGTGTGTGAATTGCAGGCTGCACAGATTTTATTTGTGCTTGAATACCTTTCTAAAGTATATTCTTAAGCACTGCAACTTCACTGTATGAGCTTCTTTTTCATGGGTTCGACACAGAACTTGAAAAAGTGACCATTATGTATGGGGAATTCTGGGAGTTGTTGAAAAAGTAACTTTGCTAAGGCAGAAATGATGTTCTGTTGTTCTATTGGAAAGGCCAAATCTGAGCAATGGTTTTGTGTTATCATCCCCACAATTTGCCTGACTTAGATGGTTGCAGGCCTTTGATTATCAACTGCACTACAAGATAGAAAAGCTACTGTGTGGAGATTGTAATGCAACCAGGCACAAAGTGCAGCCTATAACCATATGTCACTCTTGAAACCCCCTCAAATCCCTAAAAAAATAGATTTTTTCTCAGGAGGTTTTTGCCACTCAACTGTATTTTACTTAGGAAGACAAATTGAAAAGCCATCACCAACCAGGGAATGGAAGAAAAGAAAACATTCCCAAGTAAGGCAGCTCTGCCCACTGTTGTTGACCAGTGAAAGAGGGTCATTGTATTTGTGTACAGGAGCATGTTGTTATTTCTTCCTTGGGCCTGATAGGGAGGAGTTACAGCTCTTACTAATGCATGTAGTTGTTCTCATGCAGCTGATTCCTCTGCAGAACATCCAGAAATTTGAATGGTGCTGAATGTGGAATGGTGTTTGGTGATCCTGGACATGCTAGTCTGAAAATCAGATTGCTAAAAATGCATGACCTTATCTAAAGACACAAGTCCATTAAATTCATAAGGGATTTGTAGGAGCTACATTGGGTTGAAGTATGAGAAATGAAAAAGGTTAGTCTTTTTTTAACTACAGTGCCCAAACTCTTCAGAACAATGGCTTCAAACTACAAGAAAGGAGATTCCACTTGAACATTAGGAAGAACTTCCTAACTGTGAGAGCCATTCAGCAGTGGAACTCTCTGCCCCGGAGTGTGGTGGAGGCTCCTTCTTTGGAGGCTTTTAAACAGAGGCTGGATGGCCATCTGTTGGGGGTGCTTTGAATTTGATTTTCCTGCTTCTTGGTTGGACTGGACGGCCCATGAAGTCTCTTCCAACTCTATGATTCTATGGTTCTATGATCTGAAAGGCATGGGTGCCTTGCCCTCACTGGTTCACATTCCTGTGATCATCATAGGTCTTCCTCTTTCTGAAGCTGGAACTAACTTTGAATTATGAAACAGGTATTTTCCCCCTATAGCTAAAGTTATGATAGCCCTTTGTTCCAGTCCCTCTTTTTTGAGAGCTGGTTGCTTCATTCCCATACCCCCCCCCCCTTTGGAATACTCTCCATTCCCAGACCTTTTTTGATGGATGTCAGGTTTTCTACCATTGCAGGACTGCAAGCACATTCAGCACTACATGGGTTGCTTGTGCACATGCTGTTGACCAACACTTTCCCCTTTCATCCCCATTCTTCCAGTTTCTATCTGGGCGAGATCACTTTGGCCCTTGGCCACCTCCATTCAAATGGCATCATCTACCGAGATCTCAAGCCGGAGAACATAATGTTAAACAGCCAAGGTATGAAAGCCCGATTTGCAAAGGGCAGTGGGATACTTTGGATTGAGTGTGGCCTTTCCTTCTCTGTGTCCTTAGCCAAAGCAGCAACAGCATCTCATCTTTCTTGCTTCCTCCCTCACAGGACATATTAAGCTAACGGACTTTGGCCTCTGCAAGGAGTCTATTCACGATGGAGCTGTCACCCACACCTTTTGTGGCACCATAGAGTACATGTACGTGTCATGGGCTCCTGAACGTCCTTGGCAAATTGACACTGGTTTTCTCATTGTTGGAGATTAGTGGAGGTTATCTGTGAATTGATGGTTATCTCCTCCTTCTCTCTGTTTTGTCTCATTTTAAATCCAGGGCCCCAGAAATACTGATGCGCAGTGGTCACAATCGTGCAGTGGACTGGTGGAGCCTCGGTGCTCTGATGTACGACATGCTCACTGGCTCGGCAAGTCTCAGTTGTGTTGCGTTTGAAAACAGAGAGGGAAGCAACAAATTGCAGAAATGAAGCCGTACAGTGGTGTGTGCCTGGGGCAGGGAGAGACTCTAGATCAGCAGCTCCCATTGGATCAATGACTCAGCTTTAGCAGCCAGTTTTCTGTGTGGGTCAGCTGGCCTCTCTTAAATCGAAGTGCAAATAATGTTGTCCCAGCGTTCTTATCAAGAGTATGTACATGTTGTGAACAAAGGCAACATATCACTGCTTGCCTGAAAAAAAAGGTGGTGTACTGCTCTAAAAGCAATGTTTAGCTATTACTTCCTTGATCTTGTGAAAGACACCTTTCTGGAACACAGCTTTCAGAATTCCCTCAGTCAGTATGGTCCAGTTATGGACATTGCAGTGCATAATCCAAAACAGACACTTTTCCAAGCTTGGGCCTTACTGTGCCTAGCTCTGGGCCCAGCAAAACCCAATGGCTACACATAGTATTCTCTAGAGATAAAAAGTAAAGGTTTCCCCTGACATTAAGTCTAGTCATGTCCAACTCTGGGGGGTGGTGCTCTTCTCCATTTCTAAGACAAAAAACTGGCGTTGTCCCTAGACGCCTCCAAGGTTATGGGGCTGCATGACTGCATGAAGTGGCATTACCTTCTTGCCGGAGCAGTTCCTATTGACATTTGCATGTTTTCAAACTGCTAAGTTGGCAGAAGCTAGAGCTAACAGTGGGAGCTCACCCCACTCCTCGGATTTGAACCACTGACTTTTTGGTCAGCAAGTTCAGTAGCTCAGCGGTTTAACCCACTGTGCCACCTGGGGCTCCCAAGAGATAGAGATAACATAATATCTCTCTAGAGATAACATTCCTTTATCTCTAAGTCTATGCTGAACCCTTTGTGTCCTTGCAGCCTCCATTTACGGCTGAAAACCGCAAGAAGACAATTGACAAAATTCTGAAGGGGAAGCTGGTGTTTCCACCCTACTTGACACCAGATGCCCGTGACTTGATTAAGAAGGTATGGTTCTGTCTGTTGCTTGACTTGACTGCACTGGGCAAATTAAGATTTTTACTTTGTCAATTCTATTCCCAATTCTCATTTTTGGGCATTTTACTTTTTCTATAAAACCATGGATGGGCAGTCTTTGTACAATCTCAGCTAAAATAATAGTTCATCTTCAGTTAACAGACATTTTGTATACATCATTAATATCTTCCTACATGGCTTCTTTTTGTGACCATATTTGTGGCATTTAGGATGCTGGCAGAAGTTGATCTTAAGAGTCGCACTAGAGGAGCTAAAGATTTCTGGAGAGACCATCTTAATCAAATCTGCAAATAATCAGATTCACTAAAGTTAAACCTACAAATGTGAAGGGTCAAGGCAGTTTAATGTAGACATCTTATACTGGAATTCAAAAGAGAGACCCAGTAACTCCTTGCACATCTCTCCCCGCCTCCATGACATAACTACAGTCTGATGCACTAAGCTGCATCTCCACAGCCAATCAGTGGCTTTAGGTAGAGTACCCAGGCATCATTCAGCTGTGGTCACACACTAGGAAAAAGAAACAGTTTTCATCCTTTAGGACAGGGGTCCACAAACTAAGGCCTGGGGGCCGGATACGGACATTTACCCGGCCCTCACTCAGGGTCAACCTTAGCCTGAAATGACTTGAAAGCACACAACAACAACAACAACAACAATCCTATCTCATCTGCCAAAATCAGGCCAACATTTCCCATTAAAATACGAATAAGCTTATATTTGTTAAAATTGTTCTTCATTTTAATTATGGTATTGTTTTAAGTGTTTCTGCACTACAAAAAAGATATGTGCAATGTGCATAGAAATTCATTCATTTTTTTTCCCAAATTATAATCCGGCCCTACAACAGTTTGAGGGACTATGACCTGGCCCTCTGTTTAAAAAGATTGAGGACCCCTGCTTTAGGACCTCCATCAGTTTCTCTGGAAGTGTGAATCAGATCTTTTGGATGCTGTTGCCTTCTGCCATTAGGATCATGCCCAAATGTAACAGAGCCCCTTTAGTCCCAGTGCAGTCAGGTTGTCATAATGCAACTCTAAAAAAAGAGAAAGCCGCATCACCAGCATACTGAAACTTTATGCAACACCAGAATATTTTGGAACATTGGCCACTTAGTGCACATGTTGGCACCACATAGTATTTATTTATTTATTGTATTTATATACCACCTTTCTCACCTCTGGGGGGACTCAAGGTGGTTTACAACATATGAATCGCAAAAATTCAATGCCAACATACAGTAACACAAAGAAATCATAGTAACTAATTACGACATGTAAACTTTGACTTAAAATCATTAAAACCATCAAACATGACATAAAATATAAACGGCCAGAGAAAGCATTAAAATAATCCTAGTATAAATATTAAAATTACATAATAAAAAAACCCCCAAAAACAAACGTACACCATAGCCATTCTGATTGTCATTCCATATGTTCCTGATTTATTCTTTGTATGTGGGCAGACACACTCCACAACTTGGTGCATGTTGTTGCCTTGTCTTCATTGCTAGAGAGGACAGTGATATTTGCATACTTTGCATAAATTTATGGACACCTGTATATGTTAGAAGGGTCACAGAGAGATTCAGGCTATTCTTACATTGAATAACTCTGATCAGATTACAGTATAATGAAAGTTATCGTGATGTGGTCAGGTGTGAAAGTTTGGCTTTAATCTAGGCTACTAAAGAGTCTCTAACTGTATGGCTTACCCAAGGCAATATTTCCACACTGTGTCCTTTCCTTTTCCCAGTTCCTCAAAAGGAATCCCAGTCAGAGAATCGGAGGTGGACCAGGTGATGCTGCAGATGTTCAGGTAAAGTGGAAGTGGGAGCAAGGAAAGGAAAAATGGGATTTGCTCTGGAGGGATATTGTACAAAGAAAGTAGGGAAAAATACAGCCATGACCAGGTATGAGTGTTTCCTGCAGGAACTGAAGACATTTTAGAATTCTAAACTTTTCCTGGCTTTTTAAAAAAAAGCATGATTCTATTTCTCATGGCGATAAAGCTGGCTTTAAAGTATGTGAGCAACAACCTTTATGGTGTCTGCCTAGATACTTTAGAAGTAGTTCATGTGCAATTCACAGCAGCTTATTTCCTTAGCCTTATATGGTATTCTGTTGCTTGAGGCTCCCATCTAATCTGAGGTCACTCAGAAGAAAATTACATGCTTTGAACAAGTACATAGCAAAACTCTCCATGGACTGTAGAGCTAAAACTGTTCTGCATAACATGTTACAGTTCTACTACAAAAGGAGTTTTGTACCTTAGAATATAAACACTCATACATCTGATTCAGTATCTCTGTGGTGAAGTAGGAGCAGATCACATTATCTGAAATGTGCAGGTAGGCCTTGATTGTATACTTGAAAAGGGGCTGATTTGTCTTTGGTCAATGAAATACTAATAGAGTGGTCTTGGAATAAACCGACCTTCTGCTCTGCATTCACTACCTATGTAATAATAATGGTGGGCTCCATTAGTACTGCAGCCTTTCATGTTTGTCTGGCTGATCCAGCTGTCAGGCAGCAAAGAGACTCTGCAAGGACAAAGCTGAGGTTTGCTTTTCCAAATCTCTGGAAGATATCACTACCTCTGAGGATGCTTGCCATAGATGCAAGCGAAACATCAGGAGAGAATATCTCTAGAACATGGCCATATAGCCCGAAAAAACCTACAACAACCCTCTGGAAGATAGCTTTTCTGCCTGGAAATTGATAGTTATGTGCACCATCTTACAGACCTTCAGGGAAAAGTGCGGCTGGTGGCTGAAACGATCTGTGCATTTCAGAAATTACTGTTAGTTCTGCGTAGCCCTGATTGATCTTGTTTACCTTTCAGAGGCACCCATTCTTCCGACACATTAACTGGGAAGACTTGCTGGCGAAGACCATTGATCCACCCTTCCGGCCATCCCTGGTATGGCCACCACCCTCATTCTTCTCTCCTTCCACCCTATCTTTACAATATCCTGTATTTCAACCCAACTGTTGACTGCATAGGTCTTTCAGGCTCTTTTAATCATGTTTTCAATTTGGCTAATTGTTGTGGTTTATAAAGTAAAGCTGAGATGAAGTAATACTTGCATTCTACCCTATTTTATTTTATTTTATTTATTTACGACATTTCTGCCCTACCTTTCTCACTCCGGAGGGGACTCAAGGTGGCTTTACATAAAGACAACAATTAGATGCCCTAAAACATAATGTACATGTAAATAAATATTAAAATAGAATTTACCTCCATGTTACACAGAATACACTAAGTTGTTATGCCTGCTCCCTTTTATGCCTTTGCAGTCTGCATTTTCCCCTTCCCTGCTGTTTCAAGTTGGCCTTATTTTGGTACTATGCTTATTCCCTTTATCAGTACGCATGAAAAAATGAAGAATCCCCCACTGAAAAACTTTATTGATGTTAGTAAATAGCTTTGAGGGCCCTCTGGTGGTGCCGCAGGTTAAACTGCTGAGCTGCTGAACTTGCTGAACAAAAGATTGGCAGTTCGAATCCGGGGAACAAGGTGAGCTCCTGCTGTTAGCCCCAGATTCTGCCTACCTGTCAGTTTGAAAATAAGCAAATGTGAGTAGATAGATAGGTACCGCTTCTGTGGGAAGTTAACGGCATTCCATGCAGTTGACCTAGGAGGCATCTTTGGACAATGCTGGCTCTTCAGCTTAGAAATGGAGATGAGCACCACTCCCCAGAGTCAGACATGACTAGAGGAAAAGTTTACCTTTACTTAAATAGCTTTGACTCTTAAACCTTTTTCAACACTTTATTTTGCTTGCTATATTTAGCGTTACCCACTGTCCCTTATTTCATATTGCCTTCCTACATGGTTCCTACATGGTTCATATCATACTTGGTTAATTTTGTCCTCCAATCATTACCTGGTAGTCTCATTTTGATGGATAGTGGTGCAGCTTGTTTCACCATCTGTAGCCAAGAGAACATCCCACTAGTTTACAGGTAGTTTCCAATTAGTTCAAAATGAGTGGGTGAAAACGTAGTGTGTGTGATGAGTCTGCATGGAGTGATCTTTAAGGTGTCAAGGGAGTCGTCTAAACTGGAATTGTGGAGGATTAAAAAATATCTGGGACTTCTACATCTCTGATGTGTCTGTTTACCAGTTCCACTTGCCTGTTCAACAGTTAAGACCGTACAGTACCTCCCTCTTCTACTTTGGCACAATTGCAGGTTTACTTCCTCATTATATACTGATTTCCTCTTTCTCCTTCCCACCCACAGCAATCTGATGATGATGTTAGTCAATTTGACACCCGTTTTACCCGTCAGACTCCTGTGGATAGTCCGGATGATGGCTCCCTCAGTGAGAGTGCCAATCAAGCCTTCTTGGTAAGAGATGCTCACAGGAGGGCTTCCCTGACAAGGAAAAGTGGCAGCAGGGGGGGGGGGGGGGGGGGGGGGGGGAGTGGTGGAGGCAGCAGAGATCTCTTTTCCATCATGATTTGTGTGTGTGTGTCAGTAGCAACTTGAGAAACTGCAAGTCGCTACTGGTGTGAGAGAATTGGCCGTCTGCATGGACGTTGTACAGGGGACACCCGGATTTTTTTGATATTTTACCATCCTTGTGGGAGGCTTCTCTCATGTCCCTACCTGGGGAGCTGGAGCTGACAGAGGGAGCTCATCCGCTCTCTCCCTGGATTCGAACCCCCAACCTTTCAGTCTTCAGTCCTGCTGGCACAAGGGTTTAACCTATTGTGCCACTGGGGACTCCTCATGACATCCATCATGATATAAAGCAAAGATGGATAACCCTTTTTAAATTGAAGAACTGGATGTTTTGATAGCTGACCTTCTAGTGAGTGTTTGCCGACAATGGTCGAGGCAAAAAAATGGGTGGGTCATACAAACACATTCTGGCTGGAATGCTGTTAATAAGGATGATGTTACATTAGGGTTCTAAAGCAAAGGCTCCAGTTTCCTCCTGCAGAATTCTGGGAAATGTAGTTTAGGGAAGCTGAGGACCTTTCTGGCTGAGAATTCCAAAGGCCCTGCCATAAACTACATTTCCCAGATTTTTGCAGGAGGCAGCCATGTGATAGGTGAATGGGAGCACCTGGTTTAATAATACCAATATAATATCATCCAATGACATAGACTTGGGAAACCTCCGGTTGTACTTGAGTGTTTGTCCCTTTTTATAGGTTGAGAAGTAAGTATTAAATAGTACCTCCTGGTGCCCATTGCTGAAGTCATTTCCTGGCTGTGGTAGTGAGACAGTTTAAGGAGGTTCATGGAAAATGTCCCCCTGCCTCTCACCTTCCTCTGTATGGGGGAGAGAGGGGCAGAATAGGCAAACCTGTCCATGTGATGTAAGAACCTGCCTGTTTATATACGTGTGTAGGTATCTTGAATCAATGACGTGATTCAAGATACCTACAATGTATGTTTTCTGGCCATACAGTAAGCCATAGAGCCCGGAAAACTCACAGCAACCCAGTGATTCTAGCCATGAAAGCTTTTGACAACATCCTGAATCAAGCTTGAAAAAACTGACATTTAGAGCCAGTTTCAAACCTGAGGCTGATCTTTATCACAAGGAGGATCAAGCCCCTTCCCCCTACTGTACAAGATCAAAGGTCTGCTCCTTCCAATGCTACTTGGGGAGGGCAGGAAGCTTCTTTCAAAAGCAGGATTGCCTTCCAGACATGGTGGCATTTTGGGATAGACCCAGGAGCCCCACATGCTGGATCTAGCTCTAGTGGTTCCTGCTCTAATGTAAACGGCTATAGTGTGACCAAGGCAGGACAAGATTTAAAACGACTCCCGAGCTGTAGTCCTGCAGGGTTGTAGCTGTGTTGACCAGATGTTTCTCCTGCAGGGATTTACTTACGTAGCCCCATCGGTGTTGGAGAGCATTAAGGAAGGTTTCTCCTTTCAGCCCAAGCTGCGATCACCACGGCGACTCAACAGCAGCCCCCGCACACCTGTCAGGTAATCCTCAAGTGAAGATGAGCCAGGAGGCAGTCTAGACCCTTGAGACATGTTTTTTATGGGGTTGGCACTTGGCAGGTTGAAAGCAAAGGCAGCTGTGTCCTTGTTTATCAAAATAAATGACTAGTATCTCACCTCTAAGCGATTTTCTGGGCCATTTCTGGGCTGTCACAGAGGTACAGGACAGGGAGGTGTGTAAGTGGCTACATGAATTTTCCTCCTAACTCCATAATATGTGTTTGTTTGTTTCTTTTTGCAGCCCATTAAAGTTCTCACCTTTTGAGGCCTTCAAGCCAAGCACAGCAGTGGAACTCATGGAACTGTCAGCGCCCCCTCTCGTGCCTATAACAGAAGTCACCGCCCCGTTACCCATCAAAACACCTTCTGGCAACAAGAAGAAGAAAGGGCGAGGGCGGGCAAGGTAGTTGGCATGCCAAAGAGACCCTTGGATGGACTGCTTGCCTGCCAACCTTTCGGAGTGGGACCCTCTCCTTGCATGGGGTGGGGGATAGTGCTGTTCCAGAGTGTATGCAAATCCTGATGGGGAGCACATTTCCTCACCATCCACACGCGCACAGTGCTAGGGCCCACTCCCCACCCCAGCTGCCAAGGCCTGTGTGGCATTGGTACTTCATCCATATAAGGAATAATCTACACTGAACTGGATTAATGAACGAATCCAGCTCAGTATTTATTTATTTTTTTGTCATGTCTGGAGCGACTTGAGGAAATGCAAGTCGCTTCTGGTGTGAAAGAATTGGCCGTCTGCAAGGACGTTGCCCAGGGGATGCCCGGATGTCTTGGTGGCTTATCATATGATAAATTATGATAAGAATCAAAGGATCTTAGGACACATAAAGGAGGCTAGCAATAGTCTCTTGCTGTCTTTATAAGAAGATGAGTGGGGCTAGGGATCTCTTGGCTTTTTTAGTCACAGCAAGGACATCGTTTGGTTTCCCTTGTTGCTGCTGTATCTCTGCCAGTTCAAGGTTTAACAGCTTGTCAGGCAAAAAAGAATAATGCTGGCAGAGCAAAAGGATCCAATTGGATGCTTCTGTGTAGAATTTGGACCCCCTCTGGGAAACATTTTTGCTTGCCTTGCTTTTTTCCAGCATCCACCCAAGTGCCAAAAAGGACGTTTCCCTCCCTTTACATCTCTCTGCTGCAAGATACTGTAATCCAGACCCCTCTTTATTTGGCCTTTTTTCTTCACCTCCTCAGTATGTCTGAATCTGAACTTGTTACAAAGGAAATCATGGTTGCTCAGAAAAGGAGCAGCTTCTTACACATTTTAGTAACTTCTCACAAGAATGACTCCTGTGATTTGCATGAGGACAAAGTAGTATAATCACAATGAAAGAGCCATGGCCCATGCTCATATGCTTCATTCATCTATCATCTCTTCTATTGCAATCGTCCTTTCACCTCTGCTTTATTGTTCTAGAGCAAAAACAACACCATCAACAATGAGTTAGGGGGTCAGTTGTTTTGATTCAGATTAACAAGCCAGTGACAAGAAATGGGAATTAAACCAAGCGAGGAGAGCAGCCCTGCTTTCTCAATGGGGCTGCAGTCAAGCACAACCTGAGTTCATCGTTGTCTGTGGAGGAATCCAACTTTTTTTTTAGAGAGCTGTGACATGTGCAGGCTTGCCACTGTCTTCCCAAGTTGCAGTCCCCGAGAAAGAATGCAGATCACTGAGCAGGGTTTCTGCTCTGCCTTCTGTTGCCTTGGAGGCCTTGTCCTTCTCCTCCTCCTCCTCTTCCTCCTCGGACTCCAATTCCACTTTCTTTTCAGGTGGTTCAGGGGTGGCACTCTTGTCGAGCTTTTCCTGTTTTTCTTCCTCACGTTCACTGCCTGCCCTCTGGAGGAGCAACTCATTCCACTCCTCCTCCTCCTCATCACCATCATCATCGTGCTGCTCCCTAGACTCTTCATCACTCCGATTCTCCTCTTGGTAGCCATGGATCAGCTCCTCACTGTGTGCCTGCCCCCAAAACTCCTGCCAGCGGAGGACCAGGCCCCTCATCAGTCGTTGGGGGTGATACTGTCCTTCTGACTTGCGGTTCAGGTACCGCCATGCTAGAAATAGCAAGATAAGAAGTAGCAGGAGCAAGCAGACCAGAAGACTCACAGTGATGTTATCCCTTTTGTTGCCATTGCCACTTTTCTGTGCGCTTGCATTCCCGGCCTCCCCAGGAATCAGCAGGAAGACAGCCAAGAGAGCATGGGTGAAACTGAGCCTCTGCAGAAAGAGTTGAGTCAGGATGAATCACTGTTCTGCAAACCGGAGCTATTTGCTCCCTATCTATCTAATGATAACACTATGTAACACAATTTTTGTTCTTGGGTATAGATGTCATTTCCTAATTGGTTCTATCATACAAACATGGAACAAGTTTATTAAACTGCAAAAACTTCATTTTTGTGGTACATCCTGCAGCACATTTTGCTATAGTTTTTTGATGACTATCTCCTCGAGTCTCAACCAATTCACCAGTTTGTGGCAGCCACAAAAATAAAGTTTCTAGAGTATAACACCGCACAATTAAACAGGAATAACACTTTCAAACCAGAAACAGATTTTCTTTTATTTAGTATAATTGTGTCTGCTACCACATAGCAGAAAGATGGGATAGCAGAGCCTTGTGACTGCTTGGAAGAAATCTTTATTAAAAAGCAGCTAATTTCTTGAAGCATAAATGGAAAGGAAAAGTGAATGTGGCAGCCACCTTTAGGACTAATTGGTTCTCATGTGAATGTGAGCCCACTTCTTCAGATGCAGTACAGAGTTACATTAAAGACTGAAAAGCATATTTGAGTGGGAAGGTGAGAAATTACTTTTAATTTTTTAATTACTCTTTTATTTTAATGTAAGGGGGAAGAGATAATTTAGTGGGATTTTTAGAGGAAAACTTGAGTATGATTAGTACTGTTTATTATATGAAAATATATGTGTGTGGAGAGGGGATTGTGTAAAGTAAAATTCTTATACTCCATGGAAATTATTGTAAAAGCAACATATATTTGTACAGTTGTAGGAATGGGATATAATATACTATTCAGAAAGATGCAAATCATACTTTGTGTTTGACAATACAGCTCTTCAGATCTTTACAGTGGTTAGTGGGGATGTGTGAAAGTAATACATCTGCTTACATCTCTGGGCTCAAAACTGAATGAAAGATGTATAAAACACCAACCGTTACAAAATGTAGAGCAAGGGACGTGATCTACACCTCTCTGGATCCTATTATATCGTATCCCACTCTCACTACTGTATAAAGATGCTTTTCACCTAGATACTTTAATGTCAATGTGTACTGCATCTGGAGAACTGGCTTTATGTCTATAAAAGTTCGTGCTAAAATTAAAACTAAATTAGTCTTAAAGGTGCTGCAAGGTTCCCTTTCTCCTTTCAACCTCTTTCCACCTTTTTATGTTGGAAGCAATCTGGTTTTTACCTCTTCCCCACCTAGTTGCTGATGCTAAGCAAAGCTCCAGTTACAAAAAATAATAATGAAAGAAATTCCAAGTGTTTTGCCCTTTCTGAGATGTTTATTGAGCTGGTCTTAGAGGCTTTGCAACATCCCTCCAGAGCACCATGTTTGCGAGTTGTGATTATTTAAGAGGAGAGCGAGTGTATCCTGACACAAACTCCATCTTTCTGGTTGTATCCCGTAATACACAATAACCCTATGACACTCAGGTCTATTAGTGCACTAACAAAAGGTGTCCCAAGAAAAGCTTAATTATATGATAAATTATGGAGACAAAGACTCAGAATGTGTTTATTTGGTGTGTGTGGGGGGGGGGGGGTTGCATTATTTTGTTAGTTCTGAAGAGGAACATAGTGCTCTGTAGAGCCTTAAAGTCACATCTCTAGTCACGAAAAGTCTTCTTTAAGACAGCATTGGTTCCTGAAAACACAGGAAATATGTGAAATATGTATTTTTTCTCACTGCTATAATTGTAAAGAGATGGAAAATTATGTTCTCTGAAGAATAAAAATCAAGATTCTCAGGAAATTGCATTTGTGTTGCAAAAAGCTAGATTTCCTGTTCTCTCCATGGAAAATAGTATTAACTTATGCTTTAATAACCTAGGTGGGGGTAGGGGTTGGAAGGGTTGGGATATTTTGGCTTTTGCTGGATGAACCAGCAATACAAGGCTCAATGAGAACAGACTGTTACCATTAATGTCACAACATCCAAATGCATCATGACCCTCTAGGTTGGAGAGGTTCATGTTGTGTCAGCTGGGATGCTTGGACAACCTACGGCAGTGGTCCTCAACCTGTGGGTCCCCAGATGTTTTGGTCTTCAACTCCCAGAAATCCTAGCAGGTAAACTGGCTTGGATTTCTGCGATGCACAGGTTTAGAACCACTGACCTAGGGGGATAAGTCTCTTCACACTACACAGTTAGTGCTATGAAGCAGTTGTAACTACCATGACAACATCCTATAGAATCCTGGGATTTGCATCTTTTTTTCCAGAGAGCACCTCATCCTATTACCAACTGCAGAATTGCATGCAATATTGACATGGATATTGAAAGTGCTGCCAGAGTTTTACATCAGTGCAGTGTGAAAGTGCTTCACATGTGGAAACACAAGGGTAGAACAGTGCCATGCCAATCTGCTGGAATAGAGAAGCAGGGACTATCATGGCAGATGTTGCCATGATATCACTCATTTTATGGAGACCTTGGTGGCTGCTTACGCTGGCATTAAGGGGAGTCTCCTTTGGTTTTATCTTCAATACTTTATCTATCCTTCAATACTTTATTTTCCAAATAACCCAATGCTTGCTAAATTGAGTGTCAGTGTTGAAAGCAAAATCAATCTGTAGATAGGAATGCAATCTACCTAGAAGCTTCACAAATTGCTTGGTATCTTAGTTATCCATACACTTTGGCATATATTGATCTTCCCCCCACTCAGTATGGTAAAAGCTGTTTCCACTCATTCTGAAGAAAGTGTCAACATTTGAGCTGTTTTTGTGTTGCAGGACCTTCAGTCTTACTAATGTTCAGTACTTTTCCGCAGTAGAAAAGATTGTTGTGGTATGTCAGGCACCTTGCATTAGCAAATGAGTAACTCCTCTTTTGTAAGGCACAAGCACACCAAAGCCCCAGTGCTAAAATATTTTTTCTTTGCCTAATTCCACACCCTGTTAGCAGATTAAAAACTCCAAGAAAGCAGTTAGCTGTACAAGACCCAATCTCTGATCTCAAAGCTGTGTGAAAGTGCCCCATTCAGTCTCTGCTACATTTGCTGCACCATGGAGGCTAGGAAGAATGTTAAATTGCTCATCTCTCTTGCTTTTTCTTCCTTTGCAGCAACTACCTTCTTCCTTCACTGTGTTTTAGCATCTTGAGGCTCAGCTGCAGTGTGTGCTTTAGCATACACTCACATGAATGAGATGGTCTGACTGATTCACGTAGCCCGACATGAACTACAGTTCTTCCCACTTGAACATTGGGAAGAACTTCCTGACTGTGAGAGCTGTTCCACAGTGGAACTCTCTGCCCTGGAGTGTGGTGGAGGCTCCTTCTTTGGAGGCATCTGTTGGGGGTGCTTTGAATTCAATTTTCTTGCTTCTTGGCAGGGGGTTGGACTGGATGGCCCATGGGTTCTCTTCCAACTCAATGATTCTATAATTAATCCTACATTATTGGTTTAGACGAGATAGGTCTTTTGCGTGAACGTTGTCTCTTCCCACTAGTAGTTCAGGAAGAATGCTTTGGCACCTTCTCAACCAAGGTGTTTTCTTACCTCTGGTGAGAGGATGGCAGAATTGCAAGATGTACTTCCTTACAAACCTAAGTGGTAGCATGCTCAAGACAGGACAGGTGAGCAGCCCTAGTCTTTTCCTGACAAGGGCCACATTTACATAGTGCAAGTTGTTGAAGGGCTTCTGACAGATGCACCTGATGCCCATGATGGACGGAAATAGAGAAAGGAGCTAGTCAAGCTGTTTCTTTTGTTGTTTCTGCCATCCTCTCACTCTCATCCCTCCTTTCTGGGACACGATCCAATCATCTGTGTGGGCCTTTTAAAAAATACCCTTGAGAAATCAGTTGAAAGGCTAAAGCTTGGAAGGCAAACAGAAACCTACTGGCAAAGGGAATAAGGATTGAAGAGTTGTTGTTTTTTTCCTATTGTAGGCAGAATTCCAAAGCAAAAATGTCTAATCTTATCACACAAAGGAAACAGGATGCAGTGTGTGTGTTTTAGGAGCTCACTGCTTCCACACACAGGAATTAAGAGTATGCAGTGCCTAAATGTATTTCTATTGTATTAAGTATTCTTCATGCTGCCTTAAATCTTAAGAATGGTCAGAAGTAACAGATTTCCCTCCATGGTAGCAAAAAGAAATCTTCTATAAATCACGACTGTGCTATAAAAACCACTGCGTATTTTTTTTCTCATGTTATCTTAAGATAAGGGGCTGAGTTAGCCATGATAAAAGGAACAGTACTTACTAACTAACCAGGAATGATGCCAGCATCTTAAGACTTTAGGAACATTCATCAGCTGTTTCTTAGTTCTTATCAGTTCTTCTGTACCATAGCCCTTCTTAAGCTTTCCCTACCTACCTACTAAGGAGAAGAGAGGCTTGGCATACCTTCTACTTGAAACCAGATAACCTGAAGTAAGAGCCAGGTAGAGAGAGGCTAGAGGACTCAAAAGGCTTAACCAGATGTTGGTTCATTGTTGGCAACTACTTGTGGGGCGATAGTTTCTTTCCCTTGGATGTCTTGAGCACCACAACCTGCCTTTGCTGCATCAAACAAATTTCTCTTCCTTCCTCTAAATCCCTCCCGTTTTCAAATTCTTCCAACTGCTTGAGACCCGGTCACTTACCATCATCGAGAGGGATGTGCTTTTCTTGCTGCCGTACTGCCTGAAGCCTCGAACAAAATGAATCTTTGCAAGTGTGTGTGTGTGTGTGTGCAGAAAGATGTGTGTGCACGCTTCCTGCTTGTGCTCATCACACCATGCAGGGGATCTGATGCAAAAGTTTGCTTAGCACCTTATACAAAGAACTACTTACCTATCATCTTGGGAATACTTCAGAAACTATTTAGGGAGCAGAATAATGTATCTAGTTTAGCCTGAGTTTCACTAGTAGAACAACCCAGATGAGTTATTGAGATAAGCCTTAATTGAAAAAGGGAGTATTAAAGGAAGAGGCAGGTTGACTAAGAGAATCAAATAAAAACTCAAGGAATAAAATTGTCTACACAGTACCTATTTTGTTTAAATACAAAAGATGTCAGAGAATACAAAAAAAGACTTTGGATAGCAACTAATGTTTAGTCCACCTTAGTATTAGGCTTACGTTATAACATTTGTTTCAATGTCCCTCCCTGAACTGTGCTAGTATAATTAGAATAAAGGAGGTAGTAGGTATGATGGTAGTAGTGGTTTGAGCATTTGGATTACAACTCTTGAGAGCAGAGTTTGAATCCTTATTGGGCTATGAAAAACTAGTAGGTGACGTTGGGAAAGCCACACATTCTCAATCTCAGAAGACCTTGTGACAATGTTGCCTGAGAATCATCATAGGTCAGAAATGATTTGAAGGAACACAACAACAGGTAATGAGTAGTACTTCAACTAATGACAGCACCAAAAAGGGAACTGGTACTTTATTCCTTCCAAACCCCATGGGGACAATTGTAAGGGGCAGATGGGAAACTGTGTCTATAGAAAAAACTAACCTAAGCACTGTAGCAACTGCTCAGGAAGACAGAGTCTAGAACAGGAGTCCTCAAACATTTTAAACAGAGGGCCAGGTCACAGTCCTTTAAACTTGGAGGGCCGGGTTATAATTTGAAAAAAACATGAATGAAATCCTATGCACACTGCACATATCTTATTTGTAGTGCAATAAAATAAAATAAATACAATAACTGAAATGAAGAACAAATTTAACAAATATAAATTTATTAGTATTTCAATGGGAAGTGTGGGCCTGCTTTTGGCTGATGAGATAGGATTGTTGTTGTGTGCTTTCAAGTCATTTCAGACTTAGGTTGACCCTGAGTGAGGGCCGGGTATTCGGCCCTTGGGCCTTAATTTGAGGACCCCTGGTCTAGAACCACAAGGGGTAAGAGAAGCCATTAAACAAACCCACAAGGGGTGGTCAGATGCTATAAAAAATAATGATTGCTAGTTTCTCACCATGGTTTCATATGCAAACAATAGAATCAGAAAGTGGTATTCTACTGAGATTGTGGGGGCTCTCTGCTCACATTTGCATTCACTCGGCAGTGCCGTTTCCTGCAGGCTCGGCATCACAGATGAATAGCACCAACCACAAACTTCCTGCCGCCCCCAAAACAACCAGTTCTTGCTGCTTTTGCTCAGGACTGAAAGAGCACTGCACCTGCCACTTGCGCTCCTGTGGAAATTACAGCCTGCTCTTTGTATCCATTTTGTTAAGAACTCATAAAGGATACTGCAAGAAGCTGGACGCCAGAAAAGGCATGAATCTCTATGCATTTTTGCCATGTTGACACACGCACGTATGTACACACTCCTCACATAGAGGGCTGTTGTGAGATTCTAATTCAGGGTGAGGTGGAATATTTCCACTTTCCAGGAACAGCTCCTGAAGCAGGACACAAATCATGTTTTAGCTGTTTTTATAAAGAGCACAAAACAAACAAAACAGCAGACACAAGAACACAGGAAGGAATACAATAGACAATGGAGGTAAAAACAATCAATGCAGCAGTAGCTAATTTGATTCAAATTGACTGCTAGCCAGAACAGGTGCTCTTCAGCAGCTTAAAAAGCATTAAAATGAGTGGGCAAAACATGACCCAAGAACTGTTTTTGCAATTTCCAAATCCCCATACTCCAAAAGTAAAAAGATTACGCTATATACAATAGAACATCTCAAAACACTAATTTTGTAAAACCACAAGTAAACTTCTGACCACTTCCAGATTTCTATTTTCCTGAAATCTATTTCCCTAGAAATTTGAAGAGGAAGAAGGATCACGGGGGAACCATGCAGTTTTTCAAGTACCCCAGGCTCAAAACATGATGGATTGTAAAAAAAAAATTAAAAAATAACCCATACTTTCATCTGAGTTCAGAAATATAGTTGGGGCCAGTACAGACCAAACAGCACTGAAGCTCCATTCTTCCATCAAACAAATGTATGCAGGTAGATATGGCTTAATGTATGCACAAGCACATACACAAGAACAAACACAGAGTCAACATCCTGTAGCAGCATCTTGAACCTAGTAAAGTTTCCAAACACTTTGTAAAGAGGTAGCCAGGAAAAGAAAGCATTTCGCAATAGCTTAAGCAAAATATGGCCAGGTTACGTGCAACAGCTGCCACATCTGCTTCTCTCAGCCACCATCTGATCAGCTAAGCTCAGTGTTAGCCTCCAGGCTGCAAAACTAATTTTTCAGACAAAAGAGTTCCCTACAAAACAAACAACATCCTGCCCGAATGGACAAGGATTCTGCTTGTAGCTCAGTCCACGATTCTCATTGGTTTTCTGGAATCTAACAAAAGAAAGAGTTGGGCATCACCCATGACTTGTACAAATGCTAAGAAAAACCAGCATGTTAAACATCAAGGGTCAAAGGTTGATGAGCGCAGTTTTGAGTCTTAGTCGATGTTTTATATTCATATGTTTTACTTATTGTACTGTGTTTATGTTTTGTTTTTAGGGACCTTGTGCCATGTGTAAGCCGCCCCGAGTCCCTTTGAGATGGTGGTAGGATACAAGAATAAAGCCTTCTGGGTCTTAGAAGCAAACTAGGAATCACTTAGAATGACAATGTCCAAAGGAGTCCTCTTCCAATGACAGTCTCACTGCAATCAGCTGCTGAATGTAGAAAACAAGTAGATATGCAGTCACTTGTTGGACCGCCACCCCCATTTTCCTAATGTGGCATATAGCAAGTTGTGAAGGGTTATAGGAGCTGTAGTCCAACATTTGGAAGGGAACACACTTCCTCTTCCTTTAGAACCAATGGAATCTCCCTTTTAAAAAAACCACAACTTCTCCAGAGAACCATTATAGAACAAAGAATATCACATTACACAGAAAAAAATATTACAAACAAATAGAATACAGCTTGTTATGAAGCATTCGTAAATTTTCCCAACTCAGTTTTGCAGTTCAAACTCAGGCTATTTTAATCAAATCAGAATAGGCAAGAATTAAAACACGTTGTCCCTATCCTCTGAGTGTACAAATGGAAATATATCAATTAAAAGGGTGAAATCAAGCTGAAATCTGGAGCACACTCACAGCTCACCAGTCAACCTGGAGTCCAAGTTTAAACAGATCCAAGTGATTATTATTAACTGCCAAGAATTTCACTTCATTGGTCACAACAAACATCTGACATCTAACCCTGTTGAAGTCCAAAACACCTGGAGGGCCGAAGTTTGCCCATGCCTGTTATAGACTGTACTATAATATGGTTTCATCTCCATGTCTTTAACTTTACTTATGTTCCAAATCTGACACAGGGGAAGAACACTTAGAACATTATAGAAATTTCCAACCTCAATGTCCATTAGCCCCTGCCAGTATGGCTACATTCAGGGTGATGGTTGTTGGAGGACACATTTGGAGGACACACGATTGCCTACCCCACCAAAAGTGCAACTCTCCCCCATCCCTGTTTATTAACGCAATCTGCTTTTGAAAACAAATCTGGGAAGGGTTTTTTTGCTGAATAAAGGAGCTTTTCAGCAATACTGTCCCCTGGCCAGCAACACAATGGAGGACTGCTTATTTCATTCAAAAACAGAAACATGCCTGTTAAGCTTTTAAAAGTCAGATTAAAAGTAGTGGAGGAGAGGATTATTTTCAAGAACAACACGAACAGCCAATAGGAAATCTTGAATGATTACACGTTTTGAGGAAATGCAAACCACTGCATTGAAGCAAAGCGAGCCAAGCAATTTTCCAAGTAAAGAAAGTGAGTAATAGAAATTCAGGTCAGAAAACCATGTTGTTTATTACATACATGCAATGGTTCACATAAAAGCCCGATTTCCTGCAAACATACAAAAATGTCTATGTACCTCCTGACGTGACAGTGGGAAAGAGGTCTGGTTTCTTCGGGCGGTTTATCTGCTGCATAGCGCACCGTGTGCTTCCCATGTCATGACAATGTCGGTGGAAGTGTGATTCGTGGCTTGGGAGGAGGCAAATGTTCCAGCTAGGGGCCTCTGCTTAACTCGCATTCATCTCCAGGTCAGTGGGAAGCAAGGAGAGGGCAGCAAGAGACTTCTGCACAGACCTGTGGCTTTATAAAGACTTTTATTTGGAATGAAAATATAGATATCAAATCTGAACAGTTCCTCCCCCCCACACCCCTCACCCTCTTTAATTTAGTTAGAGCCTGCATCACTTTAAGGGCTGTGGAGAGGGCTGGAGGAAATGGGGGAGAGAAAGAGAAGGAAAGAGAAGTGTGGTCCCAGAGGCAACAGGCTTCGGACTGTGACTGGATGGCAGGTTTCTTTCACAGTCGCGGCCCAATGGTCATCTCTGTGGTCTCTTTTGCAACAAATGAGGTTGAGAAATCAAAGTGGAAGAAGCCTCCACAGGATCTTAGTGGTCCTAGCAAGGGAAAGGAGACGAGAAGAGCCATGCCCACCCCCCAGCACTGAATCATAGGAGGCACTCGCTTCTAACAACCACGCCCACCTGCCCCAAGAGATTGGGAAGGGGGGATGCCAGCCTTCTCCCCAGTGGAGGGGCACAGGCATAGCAGACTGGGCCACGAGCCAGTCCTGATCCCCACTGGGAGGACATGCAGGCCAACCGTAACTGTGGAAATGGGACAGCATACAGGGATTCTGACAAATAAGGCAAAGGGGCAGATGTGGGGAGACCAGCACATTGCCCCTTGGATAGTATGTGGTGGAAGGGTGACCATAGGAAGAGTAGATTTGGTCCCAGACAAAAGCCAAGATAA